CCCCCCAAGTGTTTATTCCTGCCCACAGCCTGATGCACATGGGGGAGCACTGTGGGGACGCTGTGTACTTGCTGAAGCTGCCTTTCTTGTGTAAAGTGTCACCTGTGTATGTGTCCATCAGTACGGGAAGCAGCTGTACATCAACTTCCAGGAGGCAATGAGGAGGTCGGAGGCAGCCTATGATTGGTCCTCCCTGTCTTCATCTTCCATCAAGTCTGGATCCAGCTCCTCCAGCCTTCCAGGTCCGTGTGCCTCCTTTGGTTGAGATCATTCACTGGCTGGTAGAGCTGGACATATCATACCGTTCATGGTAATACTGGTGTAATGTTGGGCAACGATAAGAAAATGAAATATGGCGATAGAATATGGGTAAAACGCGCATGCACAGTGCCTTTGTTTACATACGCACATGGCGGCGACGGAGAACGAGAAGAGCGAACGCGGCTCGTTGAATGAAACGATGAACCAGAACTGGTTTGTAAAAGTGCTGCAGCTTCAGTGGTGGAACTGGTTTATCTTTCGTCCCTCAGACACACAACAAAGCACTATTTTTGGTAGCGCATGCTAGCGGGCCGTCGTTATTACCGTGTTGTTTGGAAAATACGACACTTAAAATCGATCCTTTGATTTTTCTGAAAGTCGACAGAGCCCCTTATAATCCCGTGTGCCTTATGTATGAACTCTGGTTGTGTTTACTGACCTCGAAACGATTTTATGTGCACGGCGCTCGAAAATCTGTCAGATGTTTCAGTACGACTTTGCTGAGCTACAAAGCCGCACCGCTTGATGGATTGTTGGAGCATTACGGCTATCGTAGGCGGAGCCTCGCGGAGTGATACGTACTGTGCTTCAACATAATGTTACCGTGTTGTGTGTGTTTAACCTCTTTTTAAGTGTTGTGGATGTTATACATGGTTATGCTGAGGATATGTCGGCCAGTTTCCACTGGAAACTGTCCGACAGGAGTTTGCACTGTTACATGTTTATATAACTTTAATGCAGATAAAAAACAGCTGCTTGTTTAAGTGAAAACACATTGATGGTTTTTTGCACTAATAAAGTTGTAAAGTATCTTGTCTTGTGTCAATTATATCGTCAGTTACATCGTAGTTATCGCAAATTTTCAAATGTATATGGTGATAAATATTTTTGGCCATATCGCCCTGCTCTAATGGCTCGTTCATAGCAGTGTGTTGTTATGTATTACATGTGAATGTACATCTCACCTACAGAAGAACACATTAGGGCTGAAGGAGCACTCAGAGCCTGAGAAACATTGCTGTGGAAAGATTCTTTCAAACATGAGCTCATCTTTTCTCTCACGTCAGGGCCTCCAAGTAGACACACTAAAAGCACTGTCATCAGTTTTTCAATGTTTTGTTAACCCTCCAGAATCCCAGTCCAACCACTCGAGCCAGTCAGACAGCGGTGTATCAGAGATGACATCATCGGGCCACACCCGCTCCCAGAGTGTCGTCAGCTCCATTTTCTCTGATGCTTGGAGGAGAGGAACGCAGGGAGAGGTGCGGTCATGCTCACAGTGTGTTCCTCCATCATCTGTTTGCTTGTGTTCTGCCTTTGCCCATGTTTCCCCTCTGCTTTCCTACCAGCGATCAAAGATGAAGGGGCGTATGCCAGTTCCACTTTGTGCAGGAGGAGGAGGGAGTGGAGGTTAGACAGGAAGTGATGTAACCGGCATGTTAACAGCTTGGCTGCAATCTTTAAAGCACTGGTTTTATTTGAAGTGACACTTGAGCTGCAGTTGTATAAAAATGGACAATCATGACATTGAACAGTTGAGTAGATGTGACAGATGTTTTCCTCGACGTTAGGCTTACGGTGCTTCCTCCAGCATTTCTGTGCATTCATTTGAAGGCCTTGAAAAGCTGTTAGTGAATCACAGTCTGTGGTAAATCATACGTTCATTAAAACCCAAACTGTACGAGTTTTAAAAAGCTACAGTAAAAACAAGCAAATGTAGATGTTGCAGATGTGTAGTTAGGATTCAGGAATGTTCGTTGGTCGTCAGAGAGCAAGTAGCTGCGAACACCAAGCTAATCCTTCAGAGTGTTTGCAAGTCAAAGATGTTGTTTTTGCTGCTGCGCTGCAGCCAGTGTCATTATATCATGTAATGTAACACAGGCTTGTTGCCATTACTGTACGTGGAGTGGTCACGCTCACGGGCACGGTGACCCCAGTGAGGTTAGAGTCAGGACTAGGGGTGGGTTTTTATAATCGATTTATCGATTAAAATCGATTCTAGCTTGGCTAACGTAAAATCGATTCATTAAAATCCTGAATCGATTTTTTAATATAAATTTATTTTGCCCGAAATGCCAGAATCTCTGGTGAAATCTCACAAAATTTCAACCACCACCAAACAGCTAAGACAGTAAATGAGAGCAGGTACAGGGATTCTGCACAAAGATGTAAACACACAGCGCGACCCGCGAATCAGAATCAGTGAGATGTCGCCTTTCTCACAGTCGGGGCTGAAAGCCGACAGCTCGCTGATTCTGATCTGTCGGCGGGTCCGCGCTTTGTGTTCACGCCCTTTATGCGCTGATTCTAAAGCTGTTAGTTTGATGTCTCTCCAAACAATATTGACCGAACCAGCAGCAAAAGAAGATCCAAACGCTTCACATAAACATCGTCATGAATTCACTCTGACTTTTACTGTTTTGCTTCCACCACGATGCACAGCTCCCCCCCCCCTCTCTTTCTTCAAGAACAGTTTCCCGTCTAAAAATCTGTTTTTTGCATTATTCACTTGCTTGTTATGCACAAGTCTACTGTTGTTTACAGCGCTGTTGGCCGACGTTTTTTTTCCCTTTTACAGTCTTCTGGAAAGAAAACCTCATTTCTGCCGTTCAATACTGAACAAATGTAAACTTTTTAAAATTATGCAAAATGCAAAACGCTTAGCCGTGTGTCTAATAAAACCGCTGTAATGTCAGAGGTAATGTTCATGTGTTGATTAATGGTTTTCTTTCGTTTTTGATGTACTGCAGAATATTTTTATAAAATCCCAGGCCAGGAAAATCACCTTCATGTTTTTCTGTTTTATCTTCAGCTACTTTGACACAAAGACCTCTGCTGTGATGCTCACACCTGTGATAAAGTCTTGCGTGTGTCAGCTTCCTTTTTATAGATACAAAAATATGTAAATGTACTGATCTGAATTATAATATTTCTGACAGTCAAAATTTCCCAGATTCAAATCGAATTGAATCGAATTGAATCGAATTGAATCGAATTAAATCGAATCGTGGATCGAATCGATTCGGGACCTTGTGAATCTGAATTGAATCGATTCTAGAAATCAGTGACGATACCCAGCATGTATATGTTGGTTTTCACCTGTTTTAAACGGCTGCAGCTGACCTGTTGGATTTTCTTCCTAACCTCGTGGTGTGAATGCCCCCTGCAAACATTTAATAAATGACACTGTTTAACTAAAGCTAACCAGACATGTTTGAGCGCGGCTCACGGTGAACATCGTTGAGTTTGATGCCAGATCAGAGGATAAACAAAGAGTTTGTAAAGAAAGCTGGAACGAACGTGGAACAGCAGCTAAACCACAAACTGCCTAAGACGCGTGTCAGAGGAACCTGACACCTGCCCAGAATATAAAACGTGTTAATAACATTGAACTCTAACGCTAATAATAATGTTGAATTATGCATTGTTTGCTAACTATGACTTGGACATGCAGTGTATTGATTTAATGAGAAGGTTTCCACTGTTCACTGCTAGTATGCTGACAGGCTGCTGCTGGCCTACGTGCCCCTCTGCACGAAAACGTTAACATTATAGTAACTTCAGAATCAGAGAAACTTTATGAATCCCAGATGGAAATGGAGCAGCAAATACACAACAAACAACAAGAACTCATATTAAATTAGTTTAGGAACAAAGTTACGATAGATAAATATATCGAGATATAGGAATAAATATACATATGAATATAAAAGGACAACTTGTAACATTTTATACAAGATAAAATCAGTTTGGGGGATTTAACAATAAACTATGTTGATACAAATGTAACAAATCAAAAAACTGACTTAAATGCAACAAACAAACAAGTTTTCAGTTTTATTGATATAACGTCAAATCACAACAACGAGGTGCTTTATATATAAGACAGAGACAATCCCAACAAGCAGACAAACCCCCCGTGAGCCAGCATTTTAAAGCTTTAGCAGGGAGGAAGACAGGAAACGGAGCACTGTGGAGGATGTTAATGATAATTAATGATTAAATACAAACTGGTGTACAAACACAGATTTAATAACAAACACATTCAGTACCTTTGTATGTAAGGCATGTTAAGACCTCCTAATGACTCTTCAGTGAATGTTTGTGTGTGTTCTCTGCACTCGGTTGATGTCTCGCCTTCTTGTGGATTTTTTCATTTTTAGAGTCGGGTGTCTTTAGCTTGTGGTCATTTTTTCTTTTTCCCTCCTTTCTCACCACGTCTTTATCCTGCATCCCACTCCCCGCTCTGATCTCTGTCTGCAGATGATGAAGATCGACCCGATCAGTAGACCCATCCCTGTGCAGATCCCCAGCCTCTCCCCCCAGCCGCTCCCTCTCTCTCAGACTCCACCATCCCGGACCAGCTTCACTGACAGCCTCGTCCCATCTGAGGACTCCTCCCCGTCACCGCCGTCGCCTCCCGCACTGCCCCCTGTAGCGAGCGTGGCCCATCAGCCGGCTCCTCCCGCCTCATACATGAAGTACAGCACGCTGGCTCGCCTGCAGAGCCAGAACCAATCCAGAACACAGCAGGCGGGTGCCCCCCCACCCTCGCTTTCCAACTACAACACCCTTCCAGCTGCCTACAGCACCTCCCCTCAGCTACCACCATCTCCTCCCCCTCCTCCTCCACCCACGGCACCAGCGCCGGGCTCAGCCATGGCAGCATTGAAATTTGGCCCTCCAAGCCCATCCGCTCTTCCACCACCACCCCCACTGGAGGAGGAGCTGGCACAGGAGCCCTCCTATCTCCCACCCCCTCCTCCCCCCGAGAGCCCGGATGCCAATGGGTTGCCACCTCCACCACCTCCAGAGCCCATCCCTAGCTCATGCACTCAACTCTCCAACACGGGCCTCCAACAGTTCCTGGCACAGAAGTTTCCCAACATGGTGTATGACTTCAGCCCAGCAGTGCCTGATGATAACTCTCCCCCACCTCCTCCACCTCCCACTGAGCTGTCTCCTCCAACCTCCCTGCAAGGTCTCCGGCCTCTGTCACCTAACGCACCACCTCCTGCACCTCCCAAAACCTTCACTGGAGGATTTCCCCCTCTCACTGCTCCCAAACCCTCGGGCCCCTCTTCCCTTCCCATCGCACTCTCACCTGTGTCTCCAACACAGCCACAAGTTGGACACGGATCATTTAAAAAGCAGCAGAGCTTCTCCACAGGACACTCCCCAAATCAGCCCCCTCCCACTCTGCCAAAGCAGCACAGCCTTTCCTCCAAAAATCTTGCCATCTCTCCCTCTTCCACCTCCTCTGCTGTCTCCATTGCAGCTGCTACCTCCTCTTTGGTCAAACAAATTGTCAATCAGTTCCCAGGAAACCCTGCCCCTAACTCCAACATGGAGGGATCCAAGATCGCTGCCCCTCTGTCTCCTCCAGCAGTTAAGGCCAAACCAAAGTGGCAACCTGGCAGTGTCATGGCTCCACAATCCCCAGAGTTCCCGCCACCTCCTACCGACAGCTCCCTGGGAGAGTTCCCTCCTCCTCCCTCTTCTTCTTCGTCCTCCAAGACAAGTTCGCCCATAAAGAGGTCGCCTTCCTCCTCGTCCACGGGATCCTCCAAACGGGGCCCTCCACCTACACCTCAGAGAGCCTCCTCTATCCGCTCCAGTTCATCAGGAGAGACCCAGGAGGAGAGGCCCAAGACGGTTGAGAGCCTGGTTAGCAAATTTGGCCAAGCTCCTCAAATGGGCACCTCGTCGAGCTCCTCGTCAGCGACAGGGTCACCTTCTAAAGACTCTTCCTCACTTCCTGCTCCGCTACCCAAACCAGGGAAACTGAATCTGGCGAACCTGCCGCTGGCGCTCCAGGGACTGCAGACCGGGCAGCACCACCAGCCGGCTGACTTCCAGTGTCCTCTGCCCCCACCTCCTCCTTCCCAGCCTCCTCACCTCGATTCATCCCCAGACTACTTCCCACCTCCCCCCAGTGACTCTGAGCTCTTTCCTCCTCCTCCTCCTCCTCCCCACCCATCAGATTTTCACCAACCCCCAAAGGTGGCAGTGGTAAACCCCCAGCCACAGATGCAGTCACACCAACATCCAGCAACCTCCTCCTTATCCTCGTCATCATGGAAACAAGGGTCACTGAAAAAGGGGGCGGTCCTTCCTCCAACACTGAACCGGCGAATGAGCAACACGGCCCAGTACGATAATGCAACTTCAATGCCCCTCTCACCACCACCTCTATCTCAGACCCCACCCCCATCACTGTCTTCTTATTCCTCCTCACCTGTTCCCCCCACCTCCCCCAAATCAGTTGCTCCAGGCTCCCTGGCACTAAAGTCTCACTTCCTGGAAGACCTAAACCGAACCCTTAAGAGGAAGTCTGTGTCTCGCCACGGCTCGCTTACCTCCTCCCACCTCATATCCTCCTCCAAGATGGAGCTTGTGGGCACCATGGACGACATGGCACTCCTCCCCCCTCCTCCACCTGAGCTCCTGCAGCAACAGCAGCAGCAGGGAGTCCGAGGACACTCTCAGACTTTATCTCGCCACCACGCACACTCCCACTCCGCCAAACACGCCAACATCTCAGGCTATGCAACGCTGCGGCGAGGCCCGCCTCCTGCTCCGCCGAAACGGGACCAAAGCACCAAACTGACCAGTGAGTGGTAGGGGAAGGAGGACGCTGTGGGTGGAGCTTAAAGAACCAAACTCAACAATTTGGTGTAATTGTTCCTGAAGAGAAAATAATTAATGTCTCTCTCCTTATCCGTCTCGCTCCATCCTAAACCATCCACCCTCGGACTCTGAGGAAGTAGCAAGTGTCCTACTCTTAATCTCAGACCCTGATTGTTAATATTAACCTCATTACTCTTATCATTAACAATACATGTTTAATCCAATAAGTATGAAATATGTATATATCTGTATACAAGCGAAGCAGAAAAGTCACCTATCGAGCTTTTTTCACAACGTCTGTGCAGCTTAATTGAAACTCGACTAGAGACAAAGACTTGAACGGCAGCAGAGACCTTTTGCTGCAAAACAGCAGGTACTGCATGGAGCAGTGGCAGTGATGTTACTGACCCAGGGAAGGAGGGATCATTGAAGGACGGCACAGTGTGTAAATGTGTATTGTGAACTGAGGGGGGAGGCAGGCGGGGAGCCCTTAGAGGGAGGTTTGCCATTTATTTCCAACTGTTTTTGTGTGTTTTTATATAAGATTATTTAATACTGGAAAGATATTGTTGTTATAGTTATTTTAAGATTTTAAGACGTGTCCGGAGTGAATGAGTTTGACTGGGGATGGGTCTGCCTTCTTCTAAAGATCTGGGCTGCCAAAACTATTATACAGCCAGTTCCTCTGGGTTTATATTTGGGTCATTTCTAAATAAGTCTCTTTCGTTCCACTCTTAACAAACCGCCAAGTAACTAGCAAACTGTTTAGGGTTAGCTTGCATTTTAGCCACATGTTAAACAAGCCGAGTTTGAGAAACGAGAAGATGCTACTTTTGAAATCAAGTCCCTCCATAGAAAGGAGCAGATGTGAGGTTCATGTTACGCAGGTTCACCAGTTCACCAGTGCTGACTCCCAGGGCGTAAAACCAATCGGTTGAATATCTGCTGATTGACATGTTGTATGTCAGGTAGACATTCAACCAGGGATGCTGGGCACAGATTATAAACAAATCAGGACTGAAATTACATCACACGAGTATATTTGCGCCAGTTGTTTTCTCGTCTTCCCTCTGTAGAGGCCATCAGGATAGACCTGGACTTCTTTTCTCTCAGCTGTCTGTACTTAAGTGTTATGATGAGTCAGGTTCTCTGAGCGCAGCTTTAGTGCTCCAATATCAAAGACGTCCTTTTAATGACAGACACAATCACCACATTGTTGTTGGTGGGCCTCCCTCGATGTTGTAGAGGTCTTCCTGTTAAAAGGAAGTTAACCCCCCCCCCTCGCTGTCACCACTGTCCTCACAGAATATCGTCACACTGTAACGTCTTTGCCCGCACTAGTACAAGGCACTCAGCCACTCGTTTTGGTCCTATTGAATAACAAGTTCATTCATTAAGTTCATTATGTAAGTCCTTGTCATGCTGTGCTGATCAGGTGTACTTGTAACTGACAAGTCATTAGCCGAAGAGCGTTTCACAGTCAGACCTGCCTCTTTCATCAAATGTGCTAATATGCAGCCAGCTTCAATGGAAATGGGTTAAATGGAAATTATAATGTAGACCAGCGGTCTCCAACCTTTTTTGCACCACGGACCGGTTTATGCCCGACGATATTTTCACGGACCGACCTTTAAAGTGTCGCGGATAAATACAACAAAATAAAACTAGCACCGGTACCGAAAAAAAGAAGATTTATTCATAACACACGTGAAAAGACCCAGGAAAACCGAGTAAACGATAAAAACGATAACAAAATAACACTGAAAACCGATAAAAACCCTGAAAACTATACATTTCACCCCTGAGCCTCAACTCTCGCGGCCCGGTACCAAACGACTCACGGACCGGTACCGGTCCGAGGCCCGGGGGTTGGGGACCGCTGCTGTAGACTGATGCAGCAATCTCAGAGTAAGAAAACCACCCCGCGTGTGACTAATGTTTGAAGTCCTAGCACCAGCTGATGCTAGCCTTCCATGTGTAAGCTGTGTCAGTGTCAGTAACTAGTTTTTTCTGGGTCATGGCTGAGTGAAATTTACATGATACTTTCCCACTGTGCAAGCTGGGGTCAGGGTGGGGGCGAGATGCAGACAAAGTACATAGAAAAGATCCAAACATGAAATAACCTGGTAAAATATGACAAAGATGCTGCCCAAGCCTAACAGTCCACCAATGAAAGAAGACTGTACGAGTGTGTGTTGTTTTAACTCTTCAGTCACTTGTAAGTTAGCGAAAGTGTGCGACCACTAAAGTAATCAAACACTAAAGGATATGCTGGGAACAAGTGCCTGAAAAGCAACATGCTAACTGTTAAAAGCATTGTTTACATCACGCCCTGACCACCCTAAAGCCTGGACTCGTATGATCTGTGACATACTCACTAGCATCTTTGTGTGACGGTGTAGCCAAAAAACACTCATCTCGAGCTTTTATGGGGCAACAACCTGATAGGATGACCGAGAGTAGCACAGGTCTCTGTTGGCCTTAATGTCCCATTGCTGGAACGTGCTTTTGAAAATAACAACAGCTTCTATTAGGACAGGTTCAGGTGCAATTAACTCATAGAACCATGAAATGCACAATTTCACTTTTCTATTTACTTTTGCGCCCCCTGGTGGTTGGTTTTTTTTAAAGAGCAGACGGGGCTTCAGTCAACTGCAAGTCTTTTGAGCCCTGTTTAAACCGTAACACTGTTCACACTGAGCCCTGATGTTAACCTTTGGAGTTGAAATATCTGTCAGATTAAGGTGACAGCTCTGAACTGTTCACCTACAAGATTCACTGGTTGCAGCATCCCACCCACATGTACAAACATTTGGGGTTAACGTTTGGTTAAAATAATATTTTGGGGGCTGTGGGAAATGATTGCGGATATTTTTCAGCACTGCCTGACACGAGGAAAGAGCACCCTGTTAAAAAAGACACTTCTCTGGTGCTAAGAGTGTGGATACAACCCATGACACTAGTCAGCTATCGCAGTTAGCCTTTGTAAGTCAGTAGATAAAGTCAGACATGAATGACTCTGTTTTTAGCAACATGTCTTCTGGTAGTAGTCAGAGGGTACATGTGGTTAGAGTAGCAGCAGGACGTTTCAGGTCAGTCGAGTTGTTCGTCTCATCCTTCCACTCTTATAGTTACTGAAACTTGCTCTGTCATTTTTGATAAAGTTTTTAAATCCATTTTCTGATCTTTGTTTTCTATTTTATGTGCCGCTTAACCTCACTCTGTCTCTACCTTCCAGTTTTTAATCCTGCCTGATGAAAATCCTCTGCATGACATGTCACCACCACTGCACCAGCACAGATGCCAAAAATATGATATTCCTGCCCCAGTTTGGCAATCATCTCAGCTCTCAGTTGTTTTCCCCTCCGGTTTGTAATTATGGTGAGAAAATGGTTTAAGTTTGTTTTAATATTTCAACCACCTGTTTGGTGATATTGTTGGGGAGGTTGGAGGGATTCACCTGAGAGAAATACTTCTATAACCCACTGCCCTGCAGGAAAGTACTCACTCGGTGTGTTTCAGCGACACTCGAGATACAGTTTGACGCTGATTGATGTCTTGAAAATGTCTTGCTCAAGGACACCCAGCAGAGAACATGGCTGTTTGGTGTCACGACTGCTGTTGCATTTAAAATAAAGGAGAAGTGATTCAAACGTGTGCACATTGAACATTTGTATACAGGTCTGTAAGCCGTTAGTGTGTGGATCCATGTTTCTGGCAAGCTAGCAGAACTCCATCATGAGCATGCCTGTTAAACTGATGCAACAAAATGCACACAGTGATGTATGCTTAAAGTGTGCGATATTACATTTATGTTGTGGTCTTTGTTTATAAAACATCCACAAAATGAGTTGATCAAACCAACAACCACAGCAAAAAGTGTCGTTTGTCTATAGCAGGGGTGGGCAACTCCAGGCCTCGCGTGCTGGTGTTCTGCAGGGGTTTTTTTGTTTTTAAACCTTTATTGAAAGAAATTCTCATATACAAAACAAGTCAAGGAAACAGACCAGAATTGTAACAATTTACATTTTAAAGTCATTATAACTTTACTGGGAGAAAATAAAAGTTTCTAGGGTAAAATAATAAGGAACATGGACCTTTTGACACAGGCAGAAACATTAGAATAGCAAGTACTTTGTGGTTTTACAGCATAGTACAGCAGTCTTTTTATTCATATTTGAAATAAGCTTAAGTGACTTAAAATATTGACAAAAGGAATTGAAGAAGACGGTAAACATAGGAGAGGCATCTTCCACTTACATGATTGAATAAAATACACAGCACTATTACAAAACTGACAACATCTGAGATTTCAGAGTCCAGGTTGTCCATAAAGTAAAGAACATCCTTAGATGTGAAGGAAGGTGTATTGGAAATCTGAGTGAAACCCAACAGAGTATTTCAAACCAAAAAGCATCAACATACTGACAAGTGAAAAATAGATGCTCTAGTGTTTCTGGATCGGAAGAACAGAAAAGAGTCGGACTCAAACTAAAACCTTTTATACAGAATTTCTCCAACTGGATAAACGTCAGATAAGAAGTGTTTCTTTCATTTTAGGCACAGGTGGCTATTTTAGGTAAAAAGAAAAGGACTTTTCTTTCAACATGCTATCGAGGTCATGTCTGACATTGACATTATAGTCACAGAATACTGTTTGCTTACAGGTATTAGAGATTAACTTATTATTAAATTGTTTGTCCTTTATTGAGGTATTACCTATCGTCAGAAAGTGAGCATGTTCTTATTAGTGAAATCTTTCAAGTATTCACGATAAGATTTAACAGCGGTGTGGGTATCGCTTTACAAACATTATTATAATTATTAAATGAAACGTCTATTTTATATTTATCAATAAATTCTTCGTAAGATAGCAAGTTTCCGTTTTTATCAAGCAGATCAAAAACAAAACACACACCGTTATCATACCAGTCTGATTTAAATAAGCACTCTTATTGGTGACTATGACCCTGCTATTCCACAACACAGAATTGTGGGTGAAAATTAGTTTCCCAACATGCAAAGCTTGCTTATAGAAACTAGACAACTTAAGAGGAATCTCAGATATTTCAAAATCACATCTGAGCATAAAATACCCCGAGCTTATTAAAGAGTTTGTTTGGATTATAGCACCACATAGACTGAGGGAAATGCAGTCGTTCATCCATCTGAGCCTGAACGCAGCAATAATGGATTCAAAGTCTAAAGCTTTCAAGCCCCCCTTTTCATAGTCTTTAACTAATTGTGATTTGCGTATATAATGTGTTTTATTCTTCCAGATAAAGCTGAATATAATGGAATTGGACAGTTTATTCATTTTTGCAGGTGTAAAAATTGAATAACAGGGGTATGTGAGTCTTGAGAGTCCTTCTGCTTTAGACAGTAAGATACGACCTAATATGGATAAATCAAATGTTAGCCAATGGTTAAATATTTTTAAACTACATTTAATCTAGGAGTTGTTATTATTCTCTCCATCCTTAATATTTTTACTGATTATTAAACCAAAGTATTTTACCTCCTCTTTTACTGGAATATTGTTAATAGTACTTTGATTACAGGTGTGCAGCTAAGATTTCACATTTTTCAAGGTTTAGTGTTAAGCCGGATGCTTTGAGAATGAAAGGATTTTATTAATTGCAGTAGAGACCATATTTACATTCTTTAGAAATAAGGCAGTGTCATCAGCAAATTTTAAATTCTTTATCGAGAATGTTTATTCCTTCCAGATCTGAAGAGAGTTTGATATAAATGGCCTTTCAGCTGCAACAATAAACAATAACGGGCTAATAGGGCATTACTATTAGCCACGATTCATTTTAAAACTATTAGAAAACCCCTGATCGAGTGCAATACTACTTGTTATATCTTTGCACAACATTTTCACTACACTAACAAATCTGGGACCAAAACCCACAGACTCCAGAGCTTTAAACAAAAAATTATGCTCCAAAGAATCAAAAGCTTTAAAGAAATCAGGAAATAAGGCTATCATGAGGAATTAAATGATTGTAATCCAACATATCTAATACTAAACGGGTATGATGATGGTTATGATGTCCTTTTATAAAGGCTGACTGTGTCTCGTCTATTATTTGAGTTAATCCTGTTTTTAATCTGTTGGCATAAACATGAGCCAACTTGCATGAGCTAGTCCTTGTTTGGTTTAGGAAGTAAAGAAATTATTCCTCGTTTCATAGTTGGAGAAAGCATCTGATCATTTATACATTCATTAAATACCTCTAGTAATAAATCTTTAATGTCACAATGTCTGTAAAATTCAGTTGTGATTCTGTCGGGACCTGTTGATTTACCACTCGCCATTTGGGAAACAGGAGTATCCAATAAAATTTCAGACTCATTGAGAATTTTAAAGTACGTATCAATTTGAGGATTTTTTCCCGGATAGAACTAAAAAAAGAATTGGTTTCTGAACTGGAATAATTTGTAGTGTAGAGGGCTGAATAGAAATATTAATATAATTGTTTTTGATAGTCTGTTGGTCCAACAACAACAACGACAATCCATTTAGCCCTTGAACTAATGAAGGCACATTTTGCTTTGTGTATATAAAGTTCATCTGTACTACATCTGGTTTAGTTCTGTAGAGTTTTCCTCTGTCAGACATGATAAGACCTGCAGTTCAAAATAGCACCCCTCTGACAGAAAACCCATCTGTTCTCTGATTGGATTGTTAAATTTGTGATTGACATGACATTGACCAATCAGCTGAAAGGAAGAAAAATAGGGTCAAAATTCATACTTGTATCTTGAAACTAGAGTGCAGTTTCACACATATTTTTTGGCTAAGTCCACACACAAATCTTTTTACACATACAAAACTGATTTACAAGTACAAAATATTTATGACCACAATTTGAGCCCATAAGTTCCTTTTGAATTTGATGGCACCAACACAAAACATTGAGGAGAGCCGTGTTCAGCATAGTGTAGGACCCACCCGTCTTTAACATCTGAGAACAGCCGTCGCCTGGTGTTTGATGATGTAGACAGTTTTTTGCAGCTTGGTGAACCTCTGCCAATCTTCCTCTCTGAGAAACTGTGTATGCTCAGTCATGTTACTGACAGAAACACTGTGGGGATGTGGTCCATTAGAAGCGAGAGCTGAAAGACAGCTGAAGACAGGCAAGCAAAAGAAACTATTTCCATGTTTTGCATTATATGGACGTTTCCTTGTTAAGAGAGTGTAACCAGGTTAGTTTTACAAATCTCACCTCAATGTGACAATCATAACTGACAACTGTTTTGAAAATTAGAAGGCTGTGACTGTAGGTGTGGCTGCAGCTCAGGTGGCAGAGCAGGTTGTTAATCGCAGCAAACAAACAAGCATGTTCACAACAAGGTAAGACAAAGTATTTGTTTTTATTGACCTCTTTGTAGGAGGTGGATCACTGCAGCAGCACAAGAAAGAAACACTTTCCTTTTGGTGTGTTATGATGAAGACTTAAGTGCTTTTAAGTGATGCATGCATAAATCATCAGTTGAGACAAAAGACAGGCATAGCTTCCAGGTCTGGAAAGGTAAACAATGCAGGAACATTATTTTAAGTGACTTCTGTTTGTGTCTGTGAGGAAATGAGCCTCCTTACTCTGTGACCTCACACAGCACAGTCCTGATGACGTTATGCTTTCAGTTGTCGGATCTTATCAAATATAACATGTAAACTTTGTAAATGATGGTGATTACTAAAGTTAGAACTGCTGCAGGGGCGATCCGGAGGATGTTCAGTGACCAACAGTCTGTGATGGACAATTAGACAACGCTGATGATCCTTCCCTCACTCATCAGGCCACAACACCAACTTGGTGGAAAAAACCTTTCAGCTCGAGCTTTCACAAAAGGATATTCATAGGTCATATTAGAGTGGTCACACAAATCCAAGGGAATGCTTGTACATGTTAGAGGAGCTGGTCAGACGCTGCTAATGGACAGCTGAGGTTGGAGGTCTGGTTCAGCTTCAGTATGCCGTCAGTGTCGGGGATCCTGCTGCTCCATGCAGGGAAAACACACAGAAAAGACGACACTGTGACTGCTATTAAAGCCTGCCCCCCACTTCTAGCTGCGTAGCTGTTGATACATGGGCTACACCGATTTGTGCTTGTTGCCAAAATAAAAAAAGAAAAAGAATAATCATTATCATAATCAATAATGATTTAAAGCTTCAGTATGTGGAAGAAGAAACACTCAAATCGTGTGTTTGTGTGGAGAGAGCAACACAGAGACTCTTCATTAAACATCAGACAGTTGTGTATTGTGTGTTGGATCTTGTGTTTCCATTCGATTGTTGCTGTGTGTTACCAATAC